AGATTTTTTATATTTTTCATTGATGACTAGTTCGTTCACAAGAAATCTCATTCTATGTTTGTGCAAGGCCAACGACATATCTCGGACTAGACTGCAGCTATCGATATGCAACAAAATGGCGTCGCTCGTGGGCGGACACGTGGGAGTCATGTGACTACTCGTGGCTTTGCGTGTGCATACGAGCAGTAGTGAGGAGCTTTTGAATGTATTTGTCAGTGTGAATGGTGTGATAATAGTAATAGTAGTGAAGTGTGAAATGTTCTTCACTGTATAAAATTATATTCTGTAACTATTGCGAGGTGTGTGTTAAAAATATCAATGGATTCGGGTACTGTGTACCCGAATGGAAGAGCAATTATAATTCATCAGACACCACAACTTTTAAATTCCCTAGAGACAATTTTTTGCGGAAAAAGTGAGTGAAAAATATTCACCGTGATAATTTTGAAGTGGCTGATAATGCATGCATGCAGTATGCATTAAACGCTAAGACGAAAATTGTGTTCCAAATCAAAATAATTCCATTAATTTGAATAATAAAATCAAATTGTTGGTAAATTGCTTGAGAACATTGAATCAACTTCAAGAGAACATTGACATAAGTGAAGAAACGGCAAAGAAAATAAAATTTGCCCTGGAGCAGATAGAGCTTGTTGTATCTCTTCAAGTGAGGTACTCTCCTGAACTATTGATTTAGGCGGCCAGCCTGTGTTTTTCGTTTCCTAGTGCTTACCACTTTCTAAGAAAATCAATTATGATGACTGTACCTCTTCATGTTTATGTAAGAAAATGTTTGGGTAAAATGGGTCCCAGAAGTCCTGGTATTGTATCTTCCCAGAAATCTTTCTTAAGGAAAAACATTATTTAAATGATAATAATAAATTTTTATCATTGATGCTTGATGAAATATATGTTAAATCTAAATTGTCATACAGAGAGGGTAGAAATTTAGGAATGACTGAACACAGTACACAAACTGATACTGCTAATACATTGCAAGTAATTATTATATCACCATTACATTCTTCAAATAACGATGTTGTAGGCCTTTTCCCAGTGAAAACAATGAGTGCGGACACACTACTCAAACTTACTCTGAGTGGTGATAATGGCCTAAAACCGTGTACACAGAATCAAGCTGCTCCATCAAAGCCTCTGTTTCTTCTTTTCGACAATGTTCATTTATTAAAGTACATCAGAAATAATTGAATAAACAGATTAAATTAAATGTTTAATATACGTAGTTTTGATGAAGTATTTCTAGCAGTAGTAAATAAAATGTGAAATGCAAATAAAGGTGTAAAATCAGTATGTGCACTTACAACTACTCAGGACTAATTTTCTGATTTAAAAGAGATTTAAAAGAGATTTCTGTTTCATTCAGAGATTATGTTATTGAAACTGGCACCCAATATCTGTAGGAATGCTCTATATCCGACACCAATAGAAAGGAGGAATATATTTTTAGCACTTAGTATTGTTGGTTCCAAAAATATATTTGCTTTAGAAATGCTTCGAAGTAATAATGTTGATATTTCTGATGGTACAAATAAATTTTTAACATTTATGGCTAAGCGGTGCTCAATGGCAAATGTTCAGCATTTCATGAAAGAGGCCTATTCAAAGAATGAGGATGCACATCCTATCAGATGATCATGTGATGATAAACTTTCCTTTCTTGCGAGATTAAAAACATATTTAAACATCTAGCATGTTGCGTAAACAGAAGGAAAACTCACTAATGATATGAAAGCAATATATTGCCTTGACACATACGTTAATCACTGTGGTTGAATTATGTAAATACATTTTAGGAAGTATAAGTGGTCTTGTGTGTGTGCTGTGAAATTTCAAACAGAAAATTTAAAACGCAGGTTTGGTGCTTATATACGATTAAGTGGTGGTACATACAATGTTGGTGTTGAACAAATTATAGTCAGAAAGAATGCTTAAATTCTTAAGTGTATTGAAGATGAAGTCTGCAAAATTTGGTGAATTTACTTTTAATGACTTTGTCGAAAAGATAAGTAACAATAACAAAGACACAGATAATTTGGATATGGTAGAACATGCAATTGAGGAAATACACAATGTTGCACTCCCCCAAGTAACAGATTTTAACTTGTATTGCCAGTTATACCAGCTCTCAAGTGATTGAAAAATTAAGATAATATAGGCAGTCTGATAATTGTATTGCAATGTTGCAGACAGAAAAAGAAATAATTTATGTACGTGACAAGGAAGTTTTTGACTATTTTACTCAATTAAACAGATGTGGTCTAAAGTGTCCTTCTTCAATGATATTCTCCTTGTGTTGTAATATTTACAGACTTTTTCATACATTAATTAGTGATCCTTATGAATCTGAATTTCTCAAGCTAAGCAACCAAAGAAACACAGTGGTAGATTTCGGATTAGAGGTAATAGAAAACATGGTTTGCAACCTAGATAAACAGTGGGAATTTGGTGTTGTGTACTGTTGTTTCAAAGAAAATTAACGTTTTAGCAAATATTTCTATTAATTATTACACCAAGGTACTTAATGAAAAGTGAGTGTCAAAGAAAATTGCAAAGAAACTGGACAGTACACATAAAAAGAAAAAAGGGCCCATACTATGTACAATGAACCAGGAAATAAAGTCTTAAAACTTGCCAGTAAATAGAGGTATGTCCTTTCTTCGAATATCTTGTATGTCTTGCATCCACGGTTTTGTCCAATTTTGTAAGAAATTGTGAAAATAGTGTACCATCTGCAGGTTCTACAGTAAACTGAAATTGTGGTTATCTGCGAAAATTTACTTTGTCTTATTTTGTCTATTATTAATTTGGTAGTAAATGTAGTTTATTTTTGTATTATTTTGTTCACTTTCATTGATGTCCCAATATATATATATATATATATATATATATATATATATATATATATATATATACATATACATATACATACGTGTTTATCATATCGACAATTAAGTTAAAATGTCAAGTTACCGTAGAGTGGTAGCAGACTATAACTGTCGTAGCTGCTTGGCCATATAAAATAACTATTATCTGTGCGTAACATCGCCCACAGTGGCGGCCATATTTTTTGGGGGGGGAGGGTTACGGTCTGAGATACTGTAATTAGTCTTGGTTTGTGTGTGGCCGCGGATCCCATTTGAAGATAGAGCTTTCTATACATGATATACACTTCTCAGTTCCTTCTGGCGATTACTTAAGTGCGAAGAACGAAGAAATTTATTATATTTTTACTGATGCCATATCAATATTCAAAAAGGACTCCAAGATATATATTCTTAGAGGCAGTGGTGTGTAAAATAAGCGTATCTAGTCATACCACATCTTCATGCGCAATCAAGATTATAAAGAAATGGTAGTTTTATTCCATGTGAATCCTAAAGAAAAGTTTTGAGTTACAATAAAAATATGAATCATTTTAAATATTTTTTTACATTGATTATTTATAAATGGTGATTTTTAATATTTACTATGATTTAACTCCCCACTTTAGCTAGAATGAATGCCTTTTTTGCATGCCTATTTTAGTAAAAATATATACCTAAACTTCCGCGCACCTAGTTATTTAATAGCATATACTTCCATGAGAAGCTCTTAAATTTGGTGAAGAAATAAAAAAAACACTATGAGCCGCACGCTTTTCCATATCCTTCCCACACTACCTTCCTTGAGACTTGCAAGTCTGAACTCCTTCGTCTTGTACTTCATCACTCTGATCCTGAGGTCAACGGAAAATTCTAGAATACCAACATGTCGCACAATAACCCTCTCAAATACAATTTAAGGATCAGAGAAAGAAAAAATGTTCAAAATATTCGCAACACATTTATGGATATAAAAAGTGGATAGTTATTTGTAGAAATTTCTTTTTTATAAAATCTCAAGGTTTCAGATACTCCGTATTCTGTGACCTATTATTGTTATATATAATAGTCCTACATTCCTTCCATAATGGGAATAATTTCGTTCATTCATTACATAAAACACAATTATTATATTAATCTTCATTTTAACTTTAATTACGAATGTATTTTCTATTCTTTCCTTTAATGCACTGTAAAGTGCCTAGTAATTTCACATGACTGTTCAGGAGTGTGGGAGAGGAGAATTGGAGGAGCGCAGCGCGAATAAGAAGTCAGAGAGATTTTGTTTAAATATATTTATTTAGAAATGGTGGACGAAGAGAAGACGCCAGGAATGTGTGTGCGCCGCTGTAGCGACGAATGCCCATCGGAGAGTGGAGACAGTGTGCCGAAGTCGTGTGCCGGGGAGAAGCGTCTGCGAACAAAGAACAACCATTAGAACCCTCGTACCACCAACACAACGCAACTCAACCACCAACACAAGCGCTACAGAGAGAACGAGTACTCACAGGGTCAGCGGGGAAGGAGCTTATTTGTAGTAGCCGTATCCACCATAGTAGGCGGGAGCATAGGCGCCGCCGTAGGCGTAGCCACCGTAGCTGTAGGGGTAGGCGGCGACAGCGGCGGAGCGGTAGTAGTTACCGTAGTAGGGGGCGACGTACTGGGCCGAGACGGCAGCCAGGATGGCGAGGACGACAAGCACCTGTAGTCAAAATAATGAAAAGTTAGCATTTACATTTATAAAACGTTATACGCGTTAGGTTAGGTTTGGAAGTTGAGTTGATTTGAAACAGCTACAACGATTTTGGAAAGTAAAAGCGAGAGTGATGTTTTCATTTCATTTTATAACTCAGAATACTAGAAATTAAATTACAAAGTTATTATTTAAGAGACAAATTGACCTTAGAAGTTCGAAAATTATCTACAATTTCTTCAAGGTTCATTTACGAATGAACTAAAATAATTTTGTCAACGCAGTTTCAAAACCTAAACTCGGCTCTGAAGGAGCTATATGCCGGGCAGAGCGCGACCCAGAACTTAGGGCAGCACCCCTGGAAAAGCTGTGGGTAGATACTCACGAGCTTCAGCATGTTGAGAGGTGACTGTGATCTGCTGCAGAGAACACTGATGCCCTGCCCGGCGCGCGCGCTGCTTTTATACGCGCGAGGGCCGCGACCGAGACCTTGGGGAGCGCCCATCTCTCTGCCTGAACTGGTTCTCGACCCTGACCACGCCTCGAAAACTTGGCAAGCTTCTACACTAAGTTTTTGATTCTGAACTTGCCTGTGTGTAAAGTAATTCCTCTTGATATAATGCTAATTCTTTAAACACTTGCGTTTTCTCATTTACTGTCCTAACTACCGTGATTTGATTGATTTATTTTTATTTTTTGTTATACTTCAGTACATTTTTGTTTTTCCCATTTACTAGCTACATTTCACAAAATTCTTTATATTCAATTTCTGGGAATGTAATATTTAATTTCAGAATGAACTGAATTTTTTTTTGTATCTGATTTATTTTCTAACTTTCATTCATTGGCTAGTTATATCTTTGATATTTGTGGTTTTGAACTTAAAGACAATAATAGTGACCATTGAAAGCAAAAAGCAAAAATGCAAAATATCGAGCAGCAAATAGTATTGAAAGCAATATAATGGAAAACAATAGGTGCTGGAATATTTTTTATGATGTGGTATGTATTTCAATTACAGTCGAAAAAAGAATATATTTGACTTAAAATTCCTTGTTTTTTCTGAATATAACGATGAATGTGACTTCGATGAACTTAAGTGAGTTTAGTGATGAAAGGACAATGATGAAAGGTTGTTGAAAAACCTACGTTTTGTAAACCATACACATTAGTTGAGAGCATGCATATCTTGTGTGATTTTCACGACCTGAACTCTTGCAGAAAGCGACACTGAACAATTGCCGTTAAAGGCGTTTTTATTTCTTGTAGTCTCCCTTTAATTTTGGGGACGTTTATACAGTTCTAAGTATAACTAGCTCGAGCGGTGAAAACATGTTCTACTATTTTGTTGTTTTAATTTGAGAGTTGGCTTTAAACCATTAATGTTTAACAATAATTTTATCGTGAAAATGAGGAAAGTTTTCAATCTTATAGGCAGTTAACGTATTACATCTAGAGTGGAAGAATAATCATGAAACAAATTCAGAATACGAAGCCACACGACGCCTACACGTAGCACAGACGGGCGACGCGCGGCACAAAAATTTTCGTGGCGCCATCTTCCGCTACGCGACGACCCATACGTGGACATCGCATTTGAGAGCGCGGAAAAACAAACAGGTCGCTCCTGCGCGCGCTAGGCAGCGTTACCTTTTGCGAGCGTTGGCGTTCGGTGAACACGCCCTCTCTACACGACTGCAGTTTCCCAGCTCGCCCGATACGTGCGCCAATTTCCCATCAAAAATATATTTATTACGTGACGGACAATTACACATTTTGGTTGTACATATTTGCTTTCGACTTGGGAGTCATGAGATCTTTTCTCCGAGGCAAGTGATTTTCTGTCTTAAAGTGCTGTATTTAATGTATATTGCCGTACTATTTCGTAAATAAGGAAACTACAAAATATCGTGTCTCCAGTATCTTTTGATCAACACAATGTCGTATGTATGTCTCTACGTGAAATAAAGAAATGTTTTCATGTTTCCTTTTATTGCCTCGTTGAGCCACTAAAGGTAAACAAGGTTTTGATTTCCATAATATAGAAATATTACATTTAAGGCACAATGTAAATAATAGGGAACTTTTGTCACTTTTTTGAAAATTTCTGGCACACTTAGAAATCGGATTTGTCCAATTGCCCTTTCCATAGCATACTTTCTGAGAAGTCATAGGTACTTACAGAGCATATACTATGCTTACTACAGAAAATTTCAAATCCATTTTGATGTTTTAAGGAACACTAAATGCAAAACTGCAAGTATTATTTTCACGTTCAACTTGTCAAAATATATAAACTTAGCATACTTTTTTAATACAAATTTCATTGTTGCTCAGTGTTACTGGCTGAAGTGCAAAAGGATGAATATCCAAAATCCTTGGTAGTGTAACTTGTGGGCGATGTTTTTAATGCTCACTTTGATTCTCTTTGAAAAACGTCTTCGCGGCTTGCCTAGTATAACATTTCTAAAAATTTAAGAAGTTCTAATGAAAATCCTATTGACATTTATTTTCTTTTGATATAAAAAAGGTAATTTTTTAATTGAACATTTCTACCTTTGAGATTTGTTTCCTTTTTTTTAGAAAAAACTGAGACAATATGATTTCCTATTTAGGTCACATACTTTTTTCTAAATTTAGTGATCTTAATCGTTATCATCATACATTTATTAATGAATTTCGTGCAAATACATAATGTAGCTAACAAAAATATTTCTTGAATTTTTATGTATACTTATATAATACCAGCTAAACCACTGCAATTACATGGCACAAAATCACTATTGGAAAGTTACAAATAGAAATATACAACATATACACTAGAGGTAAAATCGAAAAACAAAATATTTTTTCGTGTGGTACAATACTTATTCTCCCATGAAATGAAGATTTAAAACTTCTTGCGCAGGGATTTCCAACATTTTTCTCTCGACCCCTTTTAAGTTTCAATAGGCAGCACCCATGTTCATAACATAAACAATTGCACATAAATGCATTTTGACTTTAAAATTTCCAATATTCTCATAAACATTTCGATTTTAAGTAATCGAAGACTCTTTCGCTTGGGAATTAGTGAGTTTCAAATCATCATTGTAGTGTAATGGTTACAAAATGCTGAGTGACTTAAAACCTGGCCTTCACATTTCTCCAACACCTATTGCAGGGAATATTTTCTTGAAAGATAAAAAATCGTTCTGAATGCAGAGTTATAACTTTTGGATTTTACTAAAAATCCTAACTCTTGATGAATGACGGATACAAAAGAAGAGGATTGAAGTTGTAAATTTTATTATACTTATTATTGCTTTATATCAGAAAACAATTGATTTGGGGTTTTATTAATATTTTGTAATCAATAGAATTTTGATTGAATACTTTACGCGTGGATTTTGATTCAACAGGTCATATTTGGTTATTGACCGCCTATCTAACCTTTGATGATCATTGACCCCCTTCAAAATTTCATCGAAACAACGTTGAGATCAGCTATTCTAGAAGAATATTATCTCTATTCGCTGTGAACATACGTTTATTCACATTTCTGTAAATGAAATTGAACTGTTTTATATTTTCCAATATCTGTTCATCCATTCTGACCCAGATGGCAGAGATGGCTCGTAGTGTGTGCCGACTCAGCGTCTCGGTCCGGAGAGTCGCGGGTTCGAGTCTCGCGCATGGTTGTTTCTTCCTTGCCTTAATGGGTGTGTGTTGTTACGGATGGACTTGTGAGTCGGCTGACCACAGACCGAGGAGCCCGCAAGTGTGTCTAGTGTAAAGTTAGGTGTCCCCACGAGGAACATAGTGGGTACCTAGCGCGGATAGTGCAAATTCACATCCCCTGAAGCCGGCAAAAGCTCCAGGAAGAAAACGTCTATTCGTGTGTGTTGCAGTGGACTATTGGAGAGAATTCTACTTTCCAACTTAACTTTCAAACGTAAAACATCAATCATAATCAAGGATTTTTTAATAGGATATTTTTTCAATATAATCAAGGACATATGTGTCAAACAATTTCTGGACATCACATTTTATACACTCGCTAATTGCATTTTCTATTACTTTTAAAAACGCTCAATGTTAAAGTGAAAAAGATGTCTTTTTTCGTTTCCCTACATATAACCTCACGAAACGCAGGCTGATTTACAAGAATCAACTGTAAAACGCTCACGAAAACGGCCAATATCAACTACATTCTAACTGCACAATGTACTTGGTTTGAATACGACGTAATCACAAATTTCGGTAGATTAGCGTTCATTCTATTAATTTTAAGAACATTATTAAAAGTTTATGTTTGCACTACACAATTTTAATAACAGTAAGTGAAAAATCTAGAACACTCCACCTTTCATTTCAACAAAAAATCACGTAATTTTATAGAGTTTAAAGCTCAAGTTTCTAAACCAAAACCATTACTGTTTTAAAATTTCTAAACAAAAACTCTTCATGTTTTAAACGAAGAGATATAGCAAATCGGTTTAGCCGTTCCCAAGATTAACCCAAATACAGACAGACAAAAAATCAATGTAAAAGAATTGAATAGGTTTTGTATCAGTAATAATCAAATGAGACCACCAAAATGTAGTTTTTGAAATCACAAACTAACCTCCACTTTCATTTATGTGGTTAGAAGATTTGTTATAATTTTGTTACATGAAGTCTAGTTATGGAAGCGAAGGAATATTGAGTACCTCCAATACGTATTATTTTCTTTGAATCGTATGCTGTTGCTGGGAGAGGGTTTCATAAACACTTCGAGATGCGAGGACGACTTCGTAGCCTCAAGCCATGTCGCACAAGCGATACCTAAGAGCACTTGCAGTTAGATCCACGTGTCAGAATGCAATGGTAATAAAATTGCTTGGCGCCAAAAATTGTTTTTCGTAATGAAAGCATTTAGTGCTAATATAAAACGTGCACAGTATTTTCAATTAAATTTCCGTAACCCAAAAAGATACTATTACTTTTTTGTTATTGGATTCTCCGACAAGAGTCCCTTACAGTAAATCTGTGGTAGTGGATGAATATTATTCATTATTTGGTACTCTTCCACTAACCATTTTAGTACCTGTATTTATACCCTAAGGAAAGTGTACCAAAGATATTTCTAGAGCGCGAAAATGTATTTCTGTAGTTGTCTTACTAGAATTTATTTTCGCCTACTTTCGGCATTTTGCCTTATTTGTGCTTACTTCTGACTCATTTGTGTTTCTACATTTTTCGTCATTATTTTTCCTTTTCCCCATCCTGTCACAATTCTCTATCAATCGGGAAACATACTTGCGAGCCTAAACAAATGAATGCACGGTGGTGTATTGTGTTTCTGTAGACTCAGAGGCTCCAGCATCAATTTGTGTTAAAAATCTAAAAGGGGTAAGAAGATGATACCGGTGAAGATTTTTTACATTTTTCATTGATGACTTCTTCATTCACGAGAAATATCATTCTATATTTGTGTATGGCCTCGGATTCCTTTTGAAGACAGAACTCTCTATACCTGATAGTTCCTTCTTGTTACCTCTCCTCTTCTGGCGATTACACAAGTGCAAAGAACGGAGTATTTAATTATTTTAATTTAAAGTATTTTCATGATTCAAAATGTAGTCATAAATAGC